GCTGTAAAATTAACAGGGAACTGTACTGGACACCTGTCACCTTTCTATAAACAACATTTCAAGAATGGTTGCATGAGAATGATGATCCCGTCAGAACCCTGCGTCACCTGGCTGTTCCCTAAGAACATCAGAGCCCCTGCCAATCTGATGGGCATAAGTAATACTTTGGGTCTGTGAAGTGGGGGAAAAAACCTAGAAAGACCTAAAATAAAACCAGCAGTATGCCTCTCAATCCTTCCAAACTAATTAAGTGTGCTGGATCTTCAGCAGCAAACTATTGTGTAATTGCAGCTCACTAAAACTTCATGTTTCAACTCTGAGTTTCCTCTTGGAAAAATATACAACTCTGGTCAGATCTGCTTCTATCAGGGAAGAGGTGAAATAGCTGGTAGAAGACCCCAATGACCTATAACACATTGCTGCCCAGAAAAATGGCCAGTCTTGTCTGCAGGAGCCCCCACTCCAAAGCGAAAGAATACACAAGGTCTCTAACACGAAATTCCTGTGAGGAATACTTCTCTGCTAATGCATAGCTTAAGACACATGTACAAATTACTAGGAGCTTGCAAGTGTGTGGCGTACTGCAGAACGGCTTCCACAGCAGCCCCAATGGAAGAGGCTACTATTACGACACAATCATACAAAACAGTTGGAGAAAGCTTGGGCTGTGCCAGTGTGTCTTACCTTCCCGAGTTCAGCAGAAGTTAAGATTAATTAATCAATTAAGCCTTCTTGGAAATCAATATTATGAAAGCAAAGGACACAAAAATGCATCCCGAATCTACCACTTGGTGGCCTTGTGTCATTGGTGTCAAGCCATTGCCCAAGATGTCTTTTTAAATAAAAACAACCAGCAATGCCTTGTTTTTAAAATCAGAGAGGCTAAACCAAACGCTGCATGTGAAATGCCTGGCACAGTGACTTTCATGGAGCAAGGACTCCGCAAATGTTACTGATTATTGTCAGTGACTTCAGTGCCTGCTGGAGCAGCGTGCCTCAACCACATACCTGGATGAAATGACCCTTGTTATAACGCTTGCTCGGGGCAGGCCACGGTGCCCAGCAGCTCTGGCACACAAGCAGGCACTGCAAGTTGTGAGGAGCAAAAACATCCTTTCAAATGATCAAATTTCTCTTAGGAACAAAACACACTTAAGAGCCACTGTTCTGGAGAGCAACAACCCAGTGAGTAATACTGTTCATTATGATCAACAGCCTCGTGATTCTACTAGAAAACTTGTTAAAAATCTATGTTGTTCATATTTTGCTTGCTTTCAAAAGGCTCACATCCAGTCCCTTCCTATGGCCAGAGTGCCAGGCCTGGCATGAACTATCCATGTTCTGGTTGCACCCTATGGACTTTGTATAAAGTGCCATGTACAGAGCCTAACACATGGCACATTTGGTAGCAATATCTAGTGGTAACTTAGTTCCTTTTTTATGGGCCCACGACATGGGAGGTCAGCACACAATAGCTTCAGTGAAGCCACTCTAGAAGAAGCTGGACTATGGACTGAAGTCTTGGGTTATTATGTGGACATTGAATCAAGCCAACCCTGAAATTAGATCTGCTTTCTGACTTTTAAAAGTCAATGAATTTCTTGTCTGTGTGTTTGGATCGCTACAGCTACTTGTTCCACGACAGGCATTGTTCCAGATATGCTCCCCTGTGTGTTTTGTCTAAGTTGAAGAGCAATCCTATGAGACAGCAATACACCAGTGTCGTTTCCACAGCAAGTTAAGTGGCATACTCCATGTCCCACAAACAGGATGTGGTGGAGTCTGATTCCCCAGCCCAGTTCATTAAGCATGCCCTATTGTCAGCTTGGATGGGAGAACTGACCCTTTGGACAGGGACAGGGCTTCTCCCTAGTTCTCAGAAAAGATGGATGTGAACAGCTTGCCTATGGTCCCCGGGAAGAAGAATCCCTGTGTTGTAGAACATAGCGTCCTGTGGCCCTTTCACAGGCCCATGTTGGAGATGTGAAAGCCATTTGGTCAGTGAGACTTAGCTTCTGTTTGTTTCTTGATGTGAGAGGAGAAAATTATATTAGTTAAGAGGAAACTGCCTTGTTTTGAACACATCCAAAAACAGAAAAGGAAAACATTATCTCCACTAATAAAGTAAGGCAGATATGAAACCTTCACGCTTCAGGGAACACAAATGATCTTATTATCCTGCACATCTTGATGGTAACTATAAAAATTCATCTTTATTTGAGTTTCAGGCAAAATATAAGCTAGTAATATTACCTTGCATTTAACACTCTCTGTACCCTGCTAGCCTGAGTTCTGTTCCAAAAGGAAACAGAACAGCAAGGCCACTACTCCGGGGTTCTGGCTCTGTCAGCTGTATGACTGTAGCTTTGATCTGCAGCAAACAGAGAGAACAGTGAGGCACTCTGTCCAGGGTCAGCGGCGAGGAAGGAGCAGAGACTGGAACTCAGGGTCTTTCTGATGCCCGCACCAGGACTCCACAATTACACTATAATGTTCAGGATCTCAGGAAGACCTGAAGAGCACAATCCCCACACATTCTCTTTTGATCCTTTCATTTCAGGTTTGTACCAGACCTACAAACCATGGGCCCTGAACAGAACTGCCATTCAAAAATCTCAATACTCTGCATGTCAACAGTATTGGGAGTGCAATACCGTGTGGCTTGCGTTGTAGCCATTACTGTCTTCTAACTGCTGAACTTTCTGGATGAAACACCCAAAAGGACAGACTATAAAGGGGCCATCAAGAGTCACAAGTCAGCACTTTACAGATTTGGCCAAAGAGCATTAAAATAACTCTGAAATTTATGTCCCCAATACATCCTTACTTGTCATCCACCATTTCTTCCACCTGACCTACTTTGCATCTTCCCACATCCACACCTGTCCCTTCTGTCCCATTGCTGTCACAGTGACTTGCACAAAATATGAACTCAGGCATCTCTGTCTCTCTCCGCCTCTAACTCCCACCCACCCACACATGCAACAAGTCCAAACTTACACAACTATATGGTCTTCTATAGTACTTTGGAGAAACATCAGAAATATCCAAATAATCTTGTAGATCCAGATTTAAGCAAGATAAAATTAATTTCTACCTGACACAAGAAAATGCTGTGAGAAAAAGTCACAATTGCAAAATGCTTCAAGTACATACTGAAGTTTTGGTTTTCAAATATTGCTATGAAAGCCATATATTTTTTTTCTTCTCTAGCATTTCATATAAACAGCACATCGAAAAACAGCTGAAATGTTTGAGTAACTACTACCTGAAACAAGCCCCAAGGTCCTAATCAATACAGATCTTTCTGCCACATCAGTAGGAATGAGGAATGATATGAGGTTTATAGTCAATAGAGAAGTCCATTTGTATTATTAGACATTTTCCGTATCTAGGTGTCGATGGTTACAAAAAGCATATAAAGAATTTTCAAGATCCAAAGAGAGATGTACTTCAACCTTACCAAACAAAAGCTTAATTTTCTATAAAGATTTCCCCCTAAGGATAATAAATAAATAACTTACAAAAGAAGAACATTGCTATAAATATTAAAGCTTTGTATTTTTAATGTGACAATCTTGATGTAGTCTGAGAGATTCACACCAACTCATTTCTAGACAGTTGAAAACACAACAAACCAGACAGGAACTGCGTGGCAGAGAGGAATTCTAACACCTTCTAAGGTCACATGGGGGTCATAGTTCTGAGAAACAAACGTGAAGCAACTGGGCTTTGTTCAAAACAGAATGAACAGATGAAACTGAAGGGAGCATGACTAGCCCCAAGTCACGTGAACTGGGTCTTAGCTTGTCCAATGTTAGCACTCTCCTTACGTCCAACATTCAGAAGAACTTCCATGAACCATTCTCTAAACATTACAATCTGGTTGTTTCCGCCTGAATGCAATGTCAGATCACATACTGAAGGACTTGTATCTCTAGAAACTGAGTCTTCAAGAAGCGTTAAGCATCAAGTTTACCTGTGGTGTTTTATAAGACAGTCTACATTCTAGGGTAAAGGGACAGAGGAAATGAGAAGCTGACAGGAAGAAAATGCAGTTACTGATTAACCCAAGTATTATTAGCACCATCTCCTCTCTCTCCCAGATTAATGTCGAAAAGGAGCAAGGGACAGCCTGAGAGTGCTTGTGACAGAGCCATAGTAAACCTCGTCCAGTCTGCACGTCATTTACCACCCTGTGAGCAAACCACATGGAACCAGATCTGTGTGTGACGTCTCACACGACGGTCCACCAGTCAGCTCAGATAGAAGCAGACCTGTGTGTGACGTCTCACACGACGGTCCACCGGTCAGCTCAGATGGAACCAGATCTGTGTGACATGTCACACGACGGTCCACTGGTCAGCTCAGATGGAACCAGATCTGTGTGACATCTCACACGACGGTCCACCGGTCAGCTCAGATGGAACCAGATCTGTGTGACATGTCACACGACGGTCCACCAGTCAGCTCAGATAGAAGCAGACCTGTGTGTGACGTCTCACGACGGTCCACCGGTCAGCTCAGATGGAACCAGATCTGTGTGACATGTCACACAACGGTCCACCAGTCAGCTCAGATGGAACCAGATCTGTGTGACGTCTCACACGATGGTCCACCGGTCAGCTCAGATGACTACAGGCACTGCGAACAGCAGCTCGTGTACTCCCACAACCCAGGGTCTGTTTACCCTGACCTATTATACAGTCCATTTTCAGTATTTCTGCCTAATTCAGCTTCTGTGTGAGGTACAGAACCAAGTAGTAATCAAAAATTTTGCAAACATTAGAACCTGCTCCCCAGAGCAGTTAAAAAACAAAAAAGCATACTGATGGATGAAAAATGTACAACACCTCTCAACAAATGGCAACTTTATGACTTTCTGTAAGTATACTTCAGGTTGGCTCTGCAGTGTAAACTGAGGTCTCACACTGACGTGTGCTCGGTAGACATTAAAGCAAAGAAATAGGAAACGGGTCGCTGGAATTCAGAGCACTCACCTCCCCGCCTCAAAAGTGAACCACGTGGTATCGCGTCCATATCGGCGCAGGGCGCTCAGTGGCCAAGAGACCAGTTTGACTCTGGGATTCTGGATGTCCCAAAGACAGATATACTCATATGTTATCTGCAAGGCACATTCGCCATGTACATCTAAGTTAGGAGATGGCATCAAATACACATTGAATCTCTCTGGGAGAAAAACAAGAGGTTAGTCTAAAATCCCCAGGAATAAAACATCAAAGACATTGTAGGAACATAGAAGCATTTAAAACGATTTCTAGTTCACATACAAGATTTAGGTTCAAGAAAATAAATGTTTCTCATAAGTGAACCGTTGTAGATAATGACATTTTATATGCAGAAACTATTAACTAATATAATAATGACACGGTCTGGCTGCCAGCATTACGATAAACACCATTCACATGAACAAATACCATATTTACAATTTCTAAAACTGCTTAATAAAAAGATTTATATGCCAATAAGACTACAGCAGTGAAATCATTAAAAGCTATTTTTTGTGCCAAACAAAATTAATTACACTCACACTTCTGTGTTCATAAAAGACTTAGGAACACGATAATTGTCTCGTGGTTTAATGATATTAAGTTTGCACTGATCAACTTACAATTTTTATAAGTCAGTGAATAAATCTGTACTTCACGTTATTTAAATTAGATGCCACACCGATTATCTGAACATCACACTAACACTGATTAATTCACCAACAATTTGAAAAATTGCCTGAGATAAACCAGTCTTAATGAAAAGAGTTCTTAAACCATATCTTGGAAAGAAGATTCACTTGGTTACAGTGCAACCACGATTACTCTAAATAAACTCCTTGGCCAATCACAGCAAGGAAATTTTTACACCCACAAATACAGCTGTAGTATTTCCATCACATTTCTAGGAAATGCAATAGTTAATGTGGTCAAAGAAACAAACTTTATTTGAAATATGAACAAAAATGTGACTACTATATCAAAAAAATCTCCAGCTGTGCCTAAGGTACATAAATGACATTTGACAAAATATTTTGCCACTAGCAATTTCATAATAGTGGTATTCACAATTAATTGTGTTATAATAAAATAATCATTGGACTTTCCATAGACTTTACTTGACAATAGCAGATACTAATGTAAAGATTGTGTCCATGAAATGTACATATGTATCTAACATTCAAATGTTTAAAAATCATTTCAAACTCCCATTTCCAATATATTGGCTGATTTCCACTTTCAAAATATATTCCAATGGGACAAATTTCCCCTACTGAGGGTTCTAGGCCAAGAAAGAAAGGATTTCTTCATGAAGGAAAGGGAAAGAGAGGTCTTTTCTTTGATCAATTTATTTTCTCAAAAGTTCTTCTGTAAATCTACCACACTCGAGGATGACAATGGGAAGAGTGGTGAAAATGACCACTTTAATTAGAAGCCATACAAATTAACATTATAAGTTCTATAACAATCCCTGGTAGGTACATACCAAAGGTACCCATGTTTTCATTTGACAGAAGGGGAAACCAAGGCACAGAGGATTGGCCCAAGGAAAATGACCCCTGGGCTTAGACAATGCTTCAATGCTTAAGTTATAGCATGGTCTCGTTTGCAAACAGAGGGCTGTGAGAGGTAAAGTGCTAACCTGAGCACTCCACCTTCAAAACCACAGTAATAATCGAGTCCTGTCATGTTCTCCTCATGATGTCTGGCTCCCAGGCAAACACCCAGGAGGCCCTGGGAGTGCATCCACTCCATCCAGGACTGTTATGTAGGGAACCCCAGGGGCAGGGGACTGGGGAGTCACCACAGAGCCCTGTTTAACAACTCAGCCTCTCTGTGGTTCAGTTTCCCAGTCTACAGGGAGACCCACGGAATTAGCATCACTTCTGCATCTCCATCAATAACATTGCCCTGGAGATGGGTTATAGAGTGGGTTATAGATCTATAGATGGGTTATAGAGACATAGAGTGTATCCAGTAGAGTTTCAGATTGTAAATGTGTCATGAAGATACAGTTTGTCCACGAACTTTAGGGAATGTGCGCTCTGGGAAGGCACCACTCCACATCTGTCCAGTGTAGTATCCAAACTGGGTCTCCTAGAGACCCTTGATGCCTCGTCTCAGACCCAGTCATCTGCCTCCAGCAGAACTCCGAGGTCCATTCTACCCGTACTAGGCTCGGCTGCTTGGAAGTGGACCGGTCAGTGCTGCTTCACCTTCAGGCTCACACTGGAAGCTGACAATGATTTCTGCTGGAGTGTTCATGAATATTTTGGTCATTATTATTTTCAATGATTTATTCCTACACTTTTGTCTTGAATGCACACTGTAATTTTGGCTCAAATATTTCAGAGGGGTAAAAAAATCCACATTTTTAGAGGCATTGAAACTTGATGAAATATTCATGACGTGTACATTCTAACAAAGCACTGGAAAGCTTTCAATAATATTTTCAGTGAAAAAGACAAGAAAAAGCTACTACACTCTAAAATCTGTACATTTCAATTGCTCATATGGGACTACAATGAACCATTTGCTAGTTATTGAAGCTGGAACATGCCATAAGTTCCTCAAAGCTTTAGTTTCCTCTTCTGTAAAATGGATTAAGGAACAATTCTTACGCCACAGGGCTGATGTGCAAATTAAAGAACCTCATATGTGGCAAAGCACCTTCTAACACTAGCACTAACTTAGATACATCCATACTATGCATTAAATATAATACAAAGGGAAAATACACTGAAATGTTAACACAGGTTGTAGGCTAGATAATAGGCTACTTTTATACCTTGTTATAACTAAAAAATGTACAGAATATAGATGCCTTGCATTGTATTACAAGGGAACCCCAACAGTTTTAAAAGAGAGATGGGAAGAATTCTCCATACGTACCACTCTGCTCTCGTTCAACTCCAGTAGCCAGTAAGTCGGGCTCCCCAAGGCTAATGTCATTGATACGTGTCCCTACACACTCCATCTGGAGGACCTTGCACCATTCATCGGCCTCAAGATCTGTAGAAACGCCCAGAAGATTACCTCAGGTGCTCAGCACCCACTCAGAGGTTGAGGGCAACGCCTGCCCCTGCCAAAGACAAACCTGAGTCGCAAGCGAAGGTCTTGGAGGTGTCATCATCGAAATAAATGCCGATGGCGTGTTTCTTTGTGCTCTTCGGCAGCCGAGCTACATTCTTCACATTGTTGAGTTCCGTAACCTGAAAAACGACAGTTCAAAGTTCACCCACAACCACTGAGTGTATGCATCCAACATACCACAGTAAAACTGAGGAAGAAAAAAGTGGTAAGGGCTGGCACATGGCGGGTTATGTTGCCACTCGGAACAGTCACGTTTCAAATCAGAGTGGCAGCTGTGCTTCCAGTCTGGCTTCTTGCTAATGTAGCATGGGAGAAAGCAGATGCTGGCTCAAGCACTGGAGTCCCTGCCACCTACAAGGAAGGCCTACATGGACTTCTTGGCCTCTGGCTTCAGTCCAGCACAGCTCCAGCTGTTGGGAGCATTTAAGGAGTGAACTGGTGGATGTATATCTGTCCAGCCATCTCTCTATATATATATTTATATATATATATATATCAATCTCTATTTCAAGCAGATAAAATAAATAAACATTTGTTGTTAAAGAAGCAGTAAGGCACAGCACCATGGGTTCCTCTGACAGTGATGTGCCTGTGTGCTGGAAAGCTAAGGATTATTTAAGTGAATTTAGCATTATCCTTAACAAAGAGCAAGGAAAGTTAACATAAGATCCTTCCAGAATGTCCAAAAGCCTATGAAGTGGCACATGTTCAAACCTCATTACAGGGTCACTGCAATGACACAGCAAGCTAATCCTCTGCTTGGCAGCGCCAGCACTCCATGCAGACATCAGTTCATGTCCTGACTGCTCCACTTTCTTTTTTTTTTTTTTTTTTTTTTTTTTTTATTATTATTGTTGCTTACATTGTATTATGTAGTACAGCCCACTTTCAATTCAACCCTTTGCTTTTGGCCTGAGAAAGCAGCAGGGGATGGCTTGAGTCTTTGGGTCCCTGCACCCATGTGGCAGACCCACAAGAAGCTCCTGGTCTCTGCACCCATGTGGCAGACCCAGAAGCTCCTGGTTCCCAGCTTAGTAATGGCCCAGTTCTGGCTATAAGAGGACTTTGGGACAGTGAACCAGTGGTTGGAAGATTCTCTCTCTCTCTCTCTCTCTCTCTGTGATTCTGAATTTCAAGAAAAATAAATAAATATTTTAAAAAAGAACTTTATCACAGGTATAAAATTTGTTTTAGTCTTTACTTCCAACTTTGTTCTTCAGAACTTTCAATCTTAACAAGATTCGTGATATCTGTCACCATCACTGCCTTCGATCCAGAGCTGACTGCAAAAGCCTCCACATCCTTTAACCCTTCTAGGTACCCCAAGTCTCAAGTTCAAGTCATGAACTCCAGCACTGAGTCCTTATCACCTTGGCTTCCCAAGGACCCTCCCTCTTGGCTTCCATATGTGCGAACGCCACAGAGCGCCACCTCTTCGCCCTCCCACAAAACTGTTGGCGCCCTGTGTCTCCTTGAGGGCTGCCCTTCATCAAGTGACCCCCCAGGGCTTCAGGTCTCCTGGAGAGTGTTATTTGGGTTCTGCTTGAGAGAAGGCCTAGGTAGCTTCAGCGTGCTTGCAACATGAACAAGCCTTTCATACCAACAAGTTGAACTTCCCTTAATTTATCCCACCAATCTTTGCCTACAATAATGCTGTACTATTTCTCCCATCTATTACTCCAAATTCAATAAATGCCTGGCTCAAGGAGTAGGTGGGAAGAGAAAGAAATATCCTTCATGCACACAATCTGCTTATTGCATTGCCCCACTTCTTAACCTCCACTGACCCGTTTCACAATGCAGATGCAAATCTCAGCCTGGAAATCACTGTGCACTCTGCAGAGGATTGTTTCAAAGTGCAAGTGTACTTCCAGTATTTCTTTAAAGAAATAAAGCTGGGACCCTTCAGATCAGCCTCTTCCACAGCTCTTCAGGAGCTTCTTCCAGGTCTCCCATGCGGGAGCAGGGGCTCAAGAACTAAAGCCATCCTCCACTGCTTTCCAGGCCATAGGAAGAGGGGTGAACTGAAAGTGCAGCAGCCAAGACATAAACTGGGATGCGGGTGCTGCGGGCTCGTTCTCCCACCATGCTGGTCCAGTTCTAGCATTTCTGTGTATACAACAGATTTTCCACTGCACTTTGGAACCAACTCCAGTGTCTTACACTGACCACCAAGACCCCCACAGCCAAAAACCTGGCTGCCCCGTCAGCATCCTCCTCCCTGCCACCTTCCCCATGCTCTCCATGTGCTGGTGACATCAGACTCGATTCTGTTTCTGGAAGGCACCAGGATGTCCCTGCCATGAACCTCCTCCCTTTCTCCAACTGTATCCCTACTCACCTCACAGGTCTTAGCTCCTACATCAGTTACCCACAGAAGTCCAACCAGACACCCCCCACCCTAGACATCTAAACCACGTAGGGCCACACCACCTGGTGACTCCCACTGTTTATATGGGCTACCGGGTTAAGTTACCTTCTTGCGGCAAGAGTGAAAAACACATGGGGAAAGTGTAGTATTCTTGATCAACAGTTTGTTCCTTGAGTCTAGCACAGAGTCTGTCACTTGGGGAGGACTCAGCAGGTACCTGTGGAGTCTAGGAACAAAAGCCCAAACCGCCCGGAAGCTCACTTGCATGGCTCTCCTATGAAGCAAGTACTCCTCCCCTGCCTCTCCTCTCTTCTCCCATTGGGAAATTTTCACTTTTCTTTCAAACATTCCTTCTTCAGGAACATTTGTAATAATCTGGAAGTAAATTAATTATTCCCGTAGATGCTACACAAAGATCCACTTCATCATCTCTTAGTATAATTGCTCCAGCTATCCAACTCCCAGGTGGAGCTGAATCCTCTGTGACTAACTGATGAGCTGAACCAATAAAAAAGCAATCATATGGAAAAACAAAACTTGCTGAGCCATCCAATTCCACCCTCTGTACTTGGTTATTCACATAGAATGCCTCATTTGATTCTCATGGAATCCGATGACATCATTGTTCTTACAGCCCACATTCTCCAGAGGAGGAAACTGAGAGGGACAAAGGCCAAATTCACGCAAGTTCATTGCTGAAAGCCCAATAAAGATGAAGCAAACTTGAAACACTAACCCAGCTGAAATGCTAACAACTAGCTCTAAAATCCATCCCCAAGGATCATTAACCCTCGAAAGTCACCTCCCCCTGGAAGACCCCTTTGCTGTTAACATGCAGAGATAAGACACACATGCCAGACTTTATTCTGCTTTTCTATTGAGACAAGACATAGGAGAAGCCCACTGTTGGCTAAACACAGGGCTGACTTTGAGACATGTCATTCGTTACCTACCCACCGAGGGCCCAGAAGAGGCACAGGTCACCCAACCAGTCAGGAAATGGCAGAGGGAGGGGGAGGGAGACTGAGTTCAGTTCAATCACCCATTCTGGAAACAGGAAGGCAAGAGAAGGATGAGGTCTCAGAGCTCTGTGTTGCATCTGGGAACAGCGGCTGTCCCCACCTTGGAAACACACCTAGGTGCGCCTGCAGGCACACACATACCACACGCGCTCCCGGAAGCACACCCTCACAGGCCTGACTTCTAAGGGTGACAGTCTAGACCAGTTCCTAAGACAGCTTTCTTCTTATCATAGCACTGACACAGGCCTCGTAAGTCAGATACAACTTTCCTAAAATGCATTTATTCTTCCCTTCACTCAATTTTGCAAATAGCAAAACCTATGTAGGACTATTTAATATTCCTTTCATAAAGAAATACTTTGTCCCAGAAGACATGCCTTTTGATAAGATCTCAGATTTTCACTAATACCAATGGTTCCTTACAATGATGACTCCATGAGGGAAATGAATAATCAACAGTGACTGTTAGATGAAGTCCCACCCCTAAGAGGAGGAGTGTTGAGGGCTGCAGTCCATCATAGCCCTTCTGGCTGACCTTGGTGGATTTGAGGATGCATTTAGGTTTCATTTCCAGACCTACCACCAAGGGATCTGGGCGATACTTTGCTCCCCAACCCCTAAGGTGGCATCTACATACATCCTGTCCTGGGCGGGGCCTTCCCATCTGCCCATCCCCCCAGCAGAGCTGAGCAGCAGATGGTGGAGGCGCTCCTTTGCTGGGGCTCGCCTTTCCTGGAGCAATGCAGATGACAGAAGGCTACCTTGTTGGTGGCGTGCTTTTTGGCTAGAGTATGTGATGAAGTTGGATGGTGCTGCTGGAAAATCAGTCTGAAAGAACTCTGATTCACTTTCTACAGACACACGCTAACTCCAGGCTTCCTCCCACACACTCCGAGTACGAGCCATTTCCTCTGAGAGCAGCAGCACTCTTCCCACAGCTGGGAGAGACAGAGCTGCAGCCCAAGTCCTGCTTGCCCAGGGCACAGCTAGCTGAAAGTTTCGGCATGTTCCCACACACCGCGTCGCTAACCATGCCTCTACACAAGTCACACCAGGGCACAGATGATCTTATCATTCTAGATGCCTAACTTAATCTGCAAAGATAAAGTACATCCTATTTGTGCTGTCTATTCCAAACACACCCCTTACAAAGACTTTCCACCTGCCCCAGATACACTGTTGACTCCCCCATGCTCAACTACCAGCTACTGAGATGGAACCCCATAATGTAAAGGCAGAACCCAGCCTCCTCCTGTCTCCCACAGCAGAAGATGTCCTTGCCTGCTCTTTATCAAAAAAAATTCACTGACTTAAGGGTGGGTGTCTCCCAGCTGACCTGACATGCTTGGAAACATCAGGCTCAAAGAGTCATTTGCTTCTGCAAGAGATAAGGATCTCACTGGCCAGCAGAGTCCTGGAGTGATTCTGATAGGGGAATTCCAGGTCTGGGCAGAACGTAACAGCCACATTCACGTAACCCCTAGACCAACCAGAGCCCATCCATCATACATTCCTTAAAGAGCTTCCCTGAGCAATCGAAGGAAGGTCACACACGCACTGAGCAAACAGGAACGTAGGTAGGCGCTGATCACGTGACTCTCTGCCAATAAGAACCTTCACCCCCAATCCTTGGGGAGCCCAGGATTTCAGCAACAGCTGCCCGTCTCCTTGCTCCGCGTTTCGTAATAAACAACTACTTTCTCTTCCACCTCAGTGTCAGTGATTG